CCTTGTGTGGAAGAAGCCATTGTGTATTGCTTTAATTTGAAGTTAGACTACCCACTCTCAGCAGTGATGTATGGGGGCCTCATCACCAATTTTTGCATTATTTAGCCTCGACAAGAACTTGATCATTGCTTACGAGGTAGACAATGTTTGTGTTGCTCCCAAACCAAGGTTCCCCCCCCTCCACTCATACCAAAGCTTCTTGGTTGCTTTACCGGGATCAGCGAGGGCATGGACCAGGGGGAGCAGAGGTGTTCACTGACTAGTCTCTGGCCTTCTCGGCGGCTGATGCTGTGCGTTCCAGCCTTGTTGGTGCAGGGACCTACAATCTGCTTGGCAGGGACCCTTCTCCTGCGTGGAGGCTGGAGCCCTGGCTATGGCTGTTGGGCAGAGCTGTTTTTATTTAATTATTTTTTAAATTTTTATTGATTTCAGAGAGGAAGGGAGAGGGAGAGAGAGAATAGGAACATCACTGATAAGAGAGAATCATTGACTGGCTGCCTCCTGCATGCTCCCCACTGGGGATCAAGCCCGCAACCTGGGCATGTGCCCTTGACCGGAATCGAACCTGGGACCCTTCTGTCCACAGGCAGACACTCTATCCACTGAGCCAAACCAGCTAGGGCTACATTATTATTTTTTTTTTCAGGTTATATTTTTATTTTATTTTATTTTATTTACATTTTTTAAATTAAATTATTATCTGTGTACATATTTTAACATTGCCCCCTAGGGCTACATTATTGTTTTGAGTGGTGCCAGTGACATTTTTGTTGTTGTTAATCCTCACCTGAGGATTTTTTTTCTATTGAATTTTTAGAGAGAATGGAGGGGGGGAGGAGGGGGCGGGAGAAAAACATCAATGTGAGAGAGACACATCAATTGGTTGTCTCCTGCACTTACCCTGACTCCCAACCAGGGTCTGGGATTGAACCTGCAACCCAGGTTGGTGACCTTGACAGGGACTCAACCATGTGACTTCATGGCTCTGGTCGGTGCTCCAATCACTGAGCCACACTGGCCAGGGCCCCAGCGACGTGTTCCTATCTAGTCACAGGTAATCTTAATTAGCTTAGTTATTAAGCTCATCCTTATCATGGAATCTAGGTTTCACTTCTGAGTCTCTCGGCCCGCCCTCATTCCCTTCCTGCTCCACCTTTACGGGTGCCCGGTGCAGGGAGACCGGGTGGAGGAAGAGGGAGGGAAGGCACCGCAGGCAGTGTCCTGGCTTTTGACTTTGGGCCAGTCCTTTCCCTCTGTGGGCTTGTTACCTCCTCAGACTCCCTGGTTAGGAAGCTCTTTGCCCTCACCACACTGTGCGTGGGACTCCACCCCAGGTAGCTGCACCCCAAACCCTCATGTTCAGAGACCCAGGCAAACAGAGGCATACAGTCAGTGGGGCTTTTGTGGAGAGGCGTGGGCACAGGCCCAGGAATTATGTCTTTTTTTTGGTGGAGGGTCTGGAGACAGATTCTTCTTTGGAAGTGTAACTAGTGATGGTGGTGGTGAGACTGTACCTTGGTTCTTTTTATTTTTATTTTATTAATATATTTTATTGATTTTTCACAGAGAGGAAGAGAGAAGGATAGAGAGTTAGAAACATCGATGAGAGAGAATCATCCATCAGCTGCCTCTTGCACACCCCCCGCTGGGGACGTGCCCGCAACCCAGGTACATGCCCTTAACCGGAATCAAACCCGGGACCTTTCAGTCCGCAGGCCGACGCTCTATCCACTGAGCCAAACCGGTCCCGGCAGTACCTCGGTTCTTTTTAAAAATACATATTTTTATTGATTTCAGAGAGGAAGGAAGAGGGGGACAGAGATAGAAACATCAGTGATGAGAGGGAATCATTGATCCGCTGAACGTCCCCTCCTGGGGATCGAGCCGGCCACCCAGGGGTGTGCCCTTGACTGGAATTAAACCCAGGACCCTTCAGTCTGTAGGCCAATGCTTTATTCACTGAGCCAAATCAGCTAGGGTCTCAGTTCTTTTTTTTTTTTTTTTTTTTAAATATATAATTTTATTGATTTTTTTATAGAGAGGAAGGGAGAGGGATAGAGAGTTTGAAACATCGATGAGAGAGGAACATCAATCATCTGCCTCCTGCACACCCCCTACCGGGGATGTACCCGCAACCAAGGTACATGGCCTTGACCGGAATCTAACCTGAGGCTCTATCCACTAAGCCAAACTGGTTTTGGCGTCTCAGTTCTTTTTTAAAAAAAATATTTTTATTGACTTCAGAGAGGAAAGGAGAATGAGAGGGAAAGAGGTATAGACACATCAGTTGGTTGGTTCTTGAGTTCTGCAAAGAAAGATTCAGAGCCGCCGAAACCGATTTGGCTCAGTGGATAAAGCGTCGGCCTGAGGACTGAGGGATCCTGGGTTCAATTCTGATCAAGGGCATGTACCTTGGTTGCGGGCACATCCCCAGTAGGGGGTGTGCAGGAGGCAGCTGATCGATCTTTCTAATTCTATCCCTCTATCTTCCTCTTTGTAAAAAAAAAAAAAAAAAAATCAATAAGATATATAAAATAAAATAAGAGGCATTACTTAAAAAAAAAAAAAAAAGATTCAGAGCCAAGAACTCAAATTATAAGAAAAAGTTTATTTAGAAAGTTAGAGAAGTAGAAGTGAGCCACAGAAGAAATGGACTCAGGAAACAAGTTAACAGAAGCAAAAGAAGGACCCTTGAATCTAGGAGAGGGAAAGAGAAAGGCAACGTGCCTGAGGGTAAGAAGGGGCCCAGAAGAGGCAGGTGTGTCTTGCGGGGAGAGTGTGCTGGGTCCTTCCTCTTGAGGTTTTTTTTTTTAAGTTCGAAAAACTTTACAGATTTGTGTGTCATCCTTGCACAGGGGCCATGCTGATCTCTGTATCATTCCAATTTTTGTGTATTTGCTGCTGAAGTGAGAACCTCTTGAGGGTTTTAAAGCTGGGAGTTGCCTTAGCTCAGTGGTCGGCAAACTTATTAGTCAACAGAGCCAAATATCAGCAGTACAACGATTGAAATTTCTTTTGAGAGCCAAATTTTTTAAACTTAAACTATATAGGTAGATACATTGTTATTAACTTAATTAGGGTACTCCTTTGCTGGCCTTTGCTAAAAACTCAAGGGCCCAAAGAGCCGCATGTGGCTCGTGAGCTGCAGTTTGCCAACCACTGCCCTGGCTGGTTTGGCTTAGTGGATAGAGGGTCCCTATGGACTGAAGGGTCCCGTGTTCGATTCCAGTCAAGGGCACATACCTGGGGTTGTGGGTTTGATACCCAGTAGGGGGTGCGCAGGAGGTAGCCAGTCAATGATTCTTATCATTGATGTTTCTATCTCTTCCTTTCCCTTCCTCTCTGAAATTTATTATATCCTATAATAAAGGAAAGAATGCACAACAAGCTAGGGAACAGTGGGAGAACCGGGAATATATGGTTTCCAGCAGCCATGTGGCTATTTAGCCAGGATATGAGTTTTATATTATTTTTGTTAATTTTATAATGTTAAACTTTAATAATAACAAATAATTGTTGAGAACTGATTATCGAGAACTGCTTATCAAAGTTCGCATTGTTGATCAGTTGTTAGAATTCGACCACCATTGTTTGGACTTAATGAACAGTGGCATTTTTGGGGATTGGCAAAGACAAAAACATTTTGTAACTGTCTCTCAGACGATACACATTGTACTGCGTGCTAGTAAGCTAGTTAAACAAGTGATGTCATTACAAATCAGCTATTCAGATAATTTAGGTAAGTAATTTATTTATTTCATAAATACATAAATTTTTTTGAATTTAGCAGAGAGTATTCATATTATTTATATTTTATACTGGCAGCAAAAAGTCTAGTGCTGGCCTTGAAAGTGACACTTACGACTATACATAATTTTTTTGTATTTATTATATTTATAAATTGTACTTATGTTGAAATTTAAAAATATATATTACAATACTATTTTTGCGTTCTATGAAAATTTTTGTTGCTCCATATAGACCAATTTTTTTCAATAGAAACATGTTTTTAATATATTTTATTGATTTTTTACAGAGAGGAAGAGAGAGGGATAGAGTTAGAAACATCGATGAGAGAATCATCGATGAGCTGCCTCTTGCACCCTCCCCCCCAAACTGGGGATGTGCCCCCAACCAAAGTACATGCCCTTGCCTGGAATCAAACCCGGGACCTTTCATACTGCAGGCAGATGCTCTATCCATTGAGCCAAACTGGTTTCAGCTAGACCAAATTTTTAATCAAGAACCCCACTCCCTCCCCCCTGCCCCCACAAATGGTGTCCCGCTTTACCAGTGTTAAAATCTGGTCACCTTAATTTAAACGCCAGGGTAGCTGAAGTCGGGACAGTCTCTCACTTCTTTCTTAAGCCAGGGGCCCAGGACACTCTTGGAGATGGTAACTCAATCTCTCCCGGTGGACTTGTTGCCCCAGGTCAGCTTGTCAGGCCTATCGGCTTATCTCAGGTAGATAGACTATCAGCCACAATCTGGGGTGAAAGAAAAAGCCAGTTCCTTAGGCGGACCTAATCTGTCCTTATCACCAACCCTGACCAGATCTTCTTGACTCCCTAGGGCAGGGCAGAAAGAGGAAGGGACCATCCGCAGGCCTCCTTTTAGTAACGGGGGAACCCAGACTGGAGTAGGGAAGATGCTTGTTGTAGGTCCCTAGATCCCTGCTTCCCCAACTCCCAGGCCGGGCAGAGAGGCCGTGGGTGGGGGCTCCGGCCAACATCCTCTGCTGCCTCTTCACGTGCTCAAAGTTCACAGTCAGGGTGACGGGATTTTCTGCTTGACCCGTTAAGATCCTGGGAGGGAGCGGGAAGGAGAGGAGGGTGGGGAGGGAGGAGGAGCTCCACACTCCACCGCCGCCTAAAGGAGCTCCTGGCCCCAGAGAGAAAAGGTGCTGCTGGGAGCTCCTGTCTCCCACCCAATCCGAGCTGCAGAGCTTTCGGGACTCTGGGCCCAGAGGAGGAGGGAGCCACGCTCCGAGAGAGGTCGCCATGGCGAAGTGCTCAAGCAAGTGGGCCATTGCGGGCGCTGCCAGCGTGCTCCTCGTGATCGTCATTGGAATGGTCCTGGGCTTCACGCTGCTGTGGGTCCATCAGCCAGGTAGGTCCCTCCCCACCCATCCTGCCCTTAGCTTTGCTCCCCGCATCGGTCACGCCTTGTCCCCACCAAGGCAGACCTCACCTGTCCTCGTCACCCAGCCTCCTGGTCCTCAGCCACAGCTGTGGTGGCCTTCTCTCCCATCCCACATCCCCGCCAAGATTCAGCTCCATTATCAACCACACCAAGATCTCTCCCCGAAAGAAGGTCCCGTTGGCCTTCTTTCCCTCCTCCTTCACCAGGCTTCCGTTGCCTGAAAATCACACCAAGTCTTGGTCTCCAGCCCCGACCTCCCTCCTGTGCCCCTGATAGGCGGTCCTTCCTGGAGGTGATGTGGGCATCTCAGACTCGGTGCACTGAGCCAAACTCACCCTTTCCCCGGGCAGTAGCCTCCCCTCTCCCTCTGCCTCCCGCCTGTCTCCTCGGGCCCTTTGCCTTGAGGCATCTATCTGCCTTCTGCCCTCCATGGGCTACCTACCACCTAGCCTTCCCAGGCACCCGGCTTCTCCCGGACTCCTGACGTGGCCCTCTCCCTCCCACACGGTCTCTCCGCCACCAGTGAGATCTTCCTAAACACAGAGCTCCCTCGCTGCCCTCCGCGCACGCCCAGCTCCTTTGCTGTCAGTCAAGGCCATTTACAACCTGATCACAAAGCCTTTTATCAGTCTGGCCCTCTTCCATTTCTCTGCATTCCACCTGTACCGAGCCAAAGTTCAGTCCCTATTTCCTACAGTCAAGCGTTTGCTTATAGTGTCCTTTCTGGTGGAATCGCCTATCCCCCCTTCCCTGTCAATTTATGTCCATCCATCAAGGTGCCCCATAAATGTTCCCTTCTTTTAAGTTCCTTGACGGCTCTGGGCTGGTTCGGAGCCTCCTTCACCCAGGAGCCCACATACTTCCCTCTCCCCAGCACTGGTGACTGGGGTCCCCTGACTCTCTGCTGGGTGACATACTGGACACGCCCTGGAGCCCAGAGAGGGAGGGTGGTGAGCGGACGGGGCCCGTGCTGGGGGCGGAAAGAATGGATGCTGATATCACCTTGGCCTTCCTCCAGTCTGTACGCAGGATGCAGTTTGTCGACCAGATGCAGACATGCTGGACTACTTGCTGAGCCTGGGCCAGATCAGCCGGAAAGATGGCCTGTTGGTCACCTGGTACCATGCTGCCAACAGCCAGAAGGACATGAGGGCTGCCCTGGAAAGTAAGTCCAGCTGTGAGGGCAGAGGCAGTCCAGGCAGGAGTGGGGGAGGGAGGGGTTACCCAAAAGGGGACCTGGCCCTTGGTGTGTCTGCCTACGACGGCCAGTAGTGAATAACTTTTTTGAGGGGATTGTTAATCTTCACCGGAGAATATTTTTCAATTGATTTTTAGAGAGAGTGGAAGGGAGGGGGAGAAACAGAGAGAAACATCGATGTGAGAGAGACACATCGATTGATTGCCTCCTGCAACCTAGGTGCGTGCCCTTGACCTGAATTGAACCAGAGACTCCGAGGGCAGACGTTCTATCCACTGAGCCATACCAGCTAGAGCCGTGTGTGGGTTCTTGACTGGGTACAGGAAAAGTTTCACAACACAGTCTGGGCTAATTTTCGAGGACGTTTATTAAAGCTGAGGGCAGCGAAACAAGAACGGGCTGAGGCAATGAGCCTAGGCTGGTCTGCTTTGGCCCCCTAAGAAGTCAGGGGAGAGGGGGCCTTGGGGACTCTGCTCCCCTGGTTGCAAGCCTCATGAGGTCTCTTGGAGTTTAGTCCCTATCGGGGAGGAAGTGTCCCTGATTTAGGGAAAATAGGATTCATTGCATGGCTGCAAACTGCTTGTTGAACTGTTTCCCTGCTTCTCTGGTCCTGGCTGGCGGGCCTGTCTCGGGGAGAGCAGAGGTGGGGATTAAACGGCAACGTTGGTGAGGGCCGAGCGATGATGTTAATCACCTGGCTTGTCAGACAAGGAAGTGGGGGCTCAGAGGTGAAGGGACTGGCTCAGGCTGTGCAGCTGATAAGCTCTGAGCCTCTGGCTCGAACCTGAAGTCTGATTCCAAAATCATCATGTCCTGCCCCTCCCATGACCCATCCGAGACAACTGCCCCTGCGGAGGAGGCCTTTGCCCTCAAAGCCTAAGGAAACCAGAAAACGTGTGTTTGAGGCCCGGCGCTACCAAACACACGTAAAAACCTGAGCAAATAGCGCAACTCCTCCGAGTCTCCCCATTGAGAGTGATTGTGGCAGCCAGTCTGCGGCTGTTCACTGTAGGGACAGGCACACACACTCCACATGGGCTGTCCTAGGTCTGCAAGCAAACTGCTTCCAGGCTACCATGGCAAAAGGAAAAAGGAGGCTCAGGAAAGTCAGGTGACTTACCCAGGGTGACACCAACATAGGAACCAGGGTGTTTGGCCCCACACTCCTGGCCCCTGCACTGTGCCCGACCCGACCCAATTCAATAAGATGCGAAACTAAAACCGTAACCATCCGGAACGAAAGGCGTGGCCCTCAGACGTAGATTGCTGGCCCCACCCCAAGCTTCCGATTCCGTGATTCTGGGGTGGAGTCTGAGAATCTGCATTTCTGATAGTTCCCAGGCAGTGCCGATGCTGCCGGCCCCAGAACCACTGCTCAGCCCACATGTCCCAATTTCAGAAGAGCAACCTGGGGTCCAGAGTGGGAGACAGCCTTGTCCAAGGTCACACAGCAAGTCTGAAGCAGAACAAGGTGTAGGCACCAGGCCTCTAGTTCTTATAGGGTCAGCAGAGGGCCTGGGTAGGAGTGCCTGGGAAAGGCTTGCTGAGTGAATGAATGGTGAAGGAGGGCTTCCTGGAGGAGGCAGGAAAGGCCACCACCGCTGGGAAGAACCAGTTTGCTGTAGTGTAGGCAGACCTTGGCGATAAGAAAACAGATCCCTCCCCTGACAAAGCCAGGCCCGAGAGGGAGGACTCCTATCTGGGAGATAAGACCTGGGATAAACAGGACTCATCCCAGTCAGCCCAAGGGCAGCTGACAGACCCAGACCTACCAAACTGTGACCTTGGCCCTGAAGAAAGTTAAGGGCCCCACCCAGGCAGTGCCCAGAGCTCAGAAGCATGGAGAGGCACCCTTAGCATGGCCTCAGGGGTCCAGCGAGGACTTGAAGCCTGGCGTCTTCCCGGTAGCCCTGTGGTGGGCCGCTAGGGGGAGGGTGGCACCGCAATGGGGGTGGGGGTGGGGGTCCTGATGGGGAGCCAGAGGTAGGGTTAAACTGGTGAAGTCATCTTAGCCATGACCGAGGTGGGGCCAGCGTGAAGGCCTGAGAGGCATGACAGAATTAAATTCACATTTTACCTCGGCTCTTTACCAGCGAAGGTATTTGGAATAAGTGGCTCCACCTGTCTGCAGCTCAGGTTTTCCCTCTGCAGAAGGGGGGTTGGTAGGATGACTGCATCATTTATCATTCCAACCAGGGCACTTCCGATAGTGGAAGAGATCATTCTTTTCTTTCTTTTTTTTAAAAAAATATATTTTATTGGGTTTTTACAGAGAGGAAGGGAGAGATAGAGAGCTAGAAACATTGATGAGAGAGAAACATTGACCAGCTGCCTCCTGCACACGGACCCCCCAACCCCAATTGGGGATGTGCCCACAACCAATGTACATGCCCCTGACCAGAATCGAACCCGGGACCTTTCAGTCCACAGACCGATGCTCAATCCACTGAGCCAAACCGGTTTTGGCGAAAGAGGTCATTCTTAATAGCTATACAGTCCTAGCCGGTTTGGCCAGTGGATAGAACGACAGCCTGTGGACTGGAGGGTCCCACGTTCGATTCCTGTCCAGGGCACGTACCTCCGTTGCAAGATCCTCCTCGGCCCGGGGCCCTAGTCAGGGCGTGTGCAGGAGGCAACCAATCTGAATGTTTCTCTCACATCGTTATTTCTCTGTCTTTCCTTCTCCCTTTCACACTAAGAATTCAATGGGAAAATATCCTCAGGTGAGGATTAAAAAAAAAAAAAAGGTTATGCAGAGGTAACAGAAATATACTAGCCCAGTGATCAGCAAACAGAGCCAAATATCAACAGTACAACGATTGACATTTCTTTTGAGAGCCACATGTTTTTTTTGTTTGTTTGTTTGTTTTTAAATTTATTTATTTATTTATTTATTTTTAAATCAATCTTTATTGTTCATATTATTACAAAGGTTCCTCATTTCTTCCCCCCTCCACCAGGTTCCCACCCCACCCTCTGCCCCCTCCCCATCCCCCATTGTCCTCATCCATAGGTGCAGTTTATGTTCAGTTGAGAGCCACATGTTTTAAACTTAAACTTCTTCTAACTTCACTTCTTCAAAATAGACTCGCCCAGGCCATGGTATTTTGTGGAAGAGCCACACTCAAGGGGCCAAAGAGCCACATGTGGGTCACAGTTTGCCGACCACGGTACTAGACTTGTCCCAGGCAAACAGGGACAAACAGTCACCTAGTTAAGTGAGCTACTGAGTGTAAATAATAATTAATGCTCAGTGAATGCCTAATCTGGGATAGTTTATTATCTAATTCTAGTAAATGAGAAGGAGATGTGAAGTAACAGAGAGGTGAAGTAACCAGAGGTCCAGGTCACACAGCTCTGCAAGCGTTAGCCCCGAGACTGGACCCTCGCAGAATGTGTTCAGGGTCTGCCCACTCAGCCGCAATGTTCTCCTGCCTGGGAGTGCAGTGCAGAGCTGGCCAGGCACGGGGAGAGAGAGGGCTTGGTAACTTTCTGTCTGCTCCTCTGGAGAGCAGCGCTCCTTCCTTCCTGACTAACCCCCTGTGGCCGCAGGAACCTGATTCCTCCCTCATCTCCTGTACCTTCTTCATACTCAGCCCAAGCAAGTCCAGCCCCCAGATTCAGCATCTGGAAGGCAAGTACCAGCTTTTCATGATAAGGGACATTTTTTCCAGGAAGAAGCTGGACCCAGCGGCAATCACAAGGAGACAGGTTAGGGCCAGACTGCACTCTCCATCCGTTTTGAGTCCCCTTTGCTGAGCATTTGCCCAGCCCCTGCTCTGGGCCAGTCTCAGGAGGAAGACTTAGAAGTAAGATGTGACCCTGTCTTTAAGGGGGTCGCAGTGTCACAGGGGAAGCAGCTAGTGCAAATCAAGGAGGCGGCAACAGTCCAGACTCCAGTCCTGGCTCCCTCCCGATGCACCCCCACCTCCCCCGGATGGGAACTGGCCAGTTAGATGGGGTGGGAGACCCCTCAGTACCCACTGGCTTGTGTGCCCCTGTATCTGCCCAGCTGTCCCGGTGGACCCGGCTTCTCTGGGCCCCACTGGAGGCCAACACTTTGGACCTCTCTGTATTCCCAGGGAACCAAAAGTTAAGAAGAAAAAAAAAAAAAAAAGGACTCCGTGTTCAAGCCATACAAATAAAGGCTACCCGCATAAAGTCCCTCTGTTTACAAGGTAGTTTTATGTCCACGTCCTGTGTTCGTGGCCTGGGGAGGCTCATTCCCCTTAGCCAACGAGGAAATCAGGGGGGCCGGAGCTCTGGGCAGGATGCAAAGTGCCAGGCTTGGTGCCAGGGACCACCTGCACTCTGCTTCCTTCCCCTCCTGGAAACGCAGACGCTGAGATTTTAGAGAAATCTGAAAACTCTCTGAGACTTTGGGCAGTCTTTCACTTTTCTGGACCTGGGCTGTTTGATCATTCATTCATTCAACAAACTTTTTTAATTTCTTTAAAAAAAAAAATTTAAATTGGGCCCAGATGGCATAGCTCAATAGTTGCACATCAACCTATGAACCAGGAGGTCACCGTCCCATTCCCAGTCAGGGCACATGCCAGGTTGTGCACTTGATCCCCATTGTGGGGTGTGCAGGAGGCAGCTGATCAATGATCCTCTCTTATCATTGATGTTTCTGTCTCTCCCTCTCTCTTCCTCTCTGAAATCATCAAAAATATTTTTCTAAAAAAAATTAAATTGATTGGGGTAACTGTTGTTTTATAAATAACTTTATGTAAATGTCAGGTGTAAAACTTTGTGATACAGCATCTGTGTACTCTATCGTGTCTTACCCGTCCCAATCTTAGTCTCCTTCCATCACCATATGTTTGACCCTCTTTACCCTGTTTGTCCTTCCCTCAACCACTTCCCCTCTGATAATGGCTTGTGTTGTCAGTATCTATGAGTTTGTTTTCTTTGTTCACTTGTTGCTTTTTGTTTTGTATCCTACAGAGGAGTGAAATCAAATGGTTCTTGTACTTTTCCATCTGGCTTATTTCACTTAGCATAGTACTCTCAGACCCATCCAAGCTGATGTGTCACTGGGCCTCTGAGGTGTACTGAGGTGTAGGGAGTGCTCCCTGGAGCACAGAGGTCACGAATCTTGTCTTTGAAGCTGTCCCTGCAGTGGCAGCAGCAGCCACAAACCCTGCTGCCCAGAGCACCAGGCAGCCCAGAAGGCAGGACATGGATATTGAGTCTGCAGGAGAAAGGGTTTCATCATGGCAGAAGGCCTAATGCCATCTATATATATAAAAGCCCAGTGGCCATTACGGCAGAACTGCTGAAATGACCAGAATGACCGGTCGCTATGATGCACACTGACCACCAGGGGGCAGACACTCAACACTGGAGCTGCCCCTGATGGTCAGTGTGCTCCCCCAGCAGGAATGCCACTCAGCCAGAAGCCAGGCTCATGGCTGGCAAGTGCAGCGGTGGTGGCGAGTGCCTCTTCCACTCCGTGGCAGTGCTAAGGAGCGGTGAGCCAAGCAGTAAGGAGCAAGCAGGCAGGCGGTTAGGAATGAGGGATCCCAGATTGTGAGAGGGCACAGGCTGGGCTGAGGGATCCCCCCGCCCACCCTACCCCCATGAACAAATTTTGTGCATCAGGCATCTAGTTCCTGTATAAAAAGTTCCCAAATGTTGCATCATTATTTATTGGTAGAAAAAATTAGAAACTGCAGGAATGTCTCAGGAAATAGGAGGGGGTAACTAAATCGACGGGACCTTTGGTGGCCCTTTTTTCTTTAACGAAGCACATAAACGTTTGTGAAAATGTTTCCTACGGTTGAAAGAAAAAGATTAAACATTAGACATGCAGTGTGGTCTCAACTGTGTAAAAACTGTACAGTGACAAAAACGAAAGAAAGTTTATCAAAACGTGAGCTATGGTGGAAATGTGGATGGACCGTTCCCTTCTTCCTGCTTTTCTGTATTTTCTGAGGGTTCGATCCTAAACATGCAGTAGGTTTTACGATGAGAAACAACCATTTAAAAACATCCAAGAACTCAGGAACTGATTGAGGTCTGTGTCTTTCCCAGGCGACATCATGGTCCTGGAGGCGGACGTCAACATAGAAGGACTCAACACAGCCAACGAGACAGGGGTCCCCATCATGGCGCACCCCCCGCTCATCTACAGCGACAACACACTGCAGCAGTGGCTGGATGCTGTGCTGGACTCTTCCCAGAAGGGTGAGCGCCTCTCTCGCCCCGCCCCCTCCCAGCTCCCGGCCCTCGGGCAGCTTGGGCAGGGATCGCTCCCCTGGCAGGCAAGCCCGGTTGCTGTCATGAGTTGCTCATTGGCTTGTTTTCCATCCAGTGTTCCGGAGGCTCAGGTGGGGGAATTCTAGGCGAGATGGACATGTGAAAAGGTACCTGGTGCTCTGGGTGTTTCCTCTTGGACACAGGGGAGATGGAGGATGTAGCTCCCTCCTGCAGTGGTCCTTTCTCCCTGCTTGAAAGCTCTTCATTTTTTTATTTTTTTAAACAAGGTTGTATTTTATTTTTATTTTTTTAAAATATATTTCATCGATTTTTTTTTATTTTTTTATTTTTATTTTTTTTACAGAGAGGAAGGGAGAGGGATAGAGAGTTAGAAACATCAATGAGAGAGAAACATCGACCAGCTGCCTCCTGCGCACCCCCTACTGGGGATGTGCCCGCAACAAAGGTACATGCCCTTGACCAGAATCGAACCTGGGACCTTTCAGTCCGCAGACTGACACTCTATCCACTGAGCCAAACCTTCTTCACGCTCAGCCAGGATCTGGTCCCTTTCTTCCCCCATCCTTTCCATCTCCTTCCCCCACCACACACACACACACACACACACACACACACACATCATACCTGCTCTTTCTGTCCCAGGAAGTCATGTCTTCCAGTTCCTTCTGCCCTGAGCATGAGAAGCCAGTCCCCTAAGCCCTCGGCCTCCTCCCCACAGGTATCAAGCTAGACTTCAAGAGCATCAAGGCTGTGGGGCCCTCCCTGGACCTCCTGCGGCGGCTGACCGACGAGGGGAAAGTCCGGAGGCCTGTGTGGGTCAACGCTGACATCGTGCGGGGCCCCAACGTGCCCATCTCCATCGAAGTCAATGCCACACAGTGAGTGTTCCCACCGCTGCCCCAACTTACCCCGGCCTCTCCCTTCAACATTTGGCACAGGAAGTGCTCAGGGGACCGTTCCTGAGTTTGCCTTCAGAAATACCATATAGTCTGACCTCAGAGCCTTCACGAAGGCTGTTCCCTCTGCCTCGAATGCTTTCCTCCCGTTTCCTGATGAACCTTCGCCCAGTCGTTACCTCCTCCAAAGGAGCCCCAACATATAGGAGGAGGCTGACAAGCACACCTCCTACCACAGCCCTGGTTTCACGGGGTGTGCTCTGTGTCCCCAGGGACCAGGACAGGGCTCCACCTGCTAGAAAAGTCTAAACTGCTGACTCCTGGCCCAGCCCCCATGAAGTCCCGGCACTGCCACTAACAGCCTTCACACCCCTGTGTGCTACTCTGCAGCGTACAAAAGAGGGCCACATAAAAGGATAGGACACTACAGACTTAATCCTTATACAGCATCACCAGGCTAGGAGTATTCCCCCCACCCCCACCCTCACTTTGCAGATAAGAAGGCTGACAACAATGGAAGCTTAATTTATTGAATGTTTATTATGTGCCCCAGGCACTTTAGTTAGAAGAATACCCTTTATGACTCTTTTTCTTTTTTAATCCTCACCCGAGGATTTTCATTGCTTTTAGACAGAGTGGAAGAGAGGTGGGAGGGGTTGGGCAGAGGGAGGGATGGAGGGAGAGAGAGAGAGGAGGAAGAGAGAGATTGGTTGCCTTCTGCATGCTCACCTACAGGGCAGGGGATCCAGCCTGCAACCAAGGTACATGCCCTTGACTAGGAATCGAACCTGCAGCCCTTTGGTGTGCAGGCTAACACTCATGCTCTGACCACTGAGCAACCGGCCAGGGCCCATTTAACTCTTACAATGAGAATGAGGTAGGTACTATTATTTCCGTTTTATTAGTATAGGAACTATCTCATCAAAGTGCGAGGACCTGCCCAAGCCTAGTAATTGGCAGAGCAAAGATTCAAAGCCAGGCCTTTGAGTCTAAGCCCCACACTCCTTATCAGCCATCTCTCCATCCGTCTGTCCAGCTAGCCAGCCAACAATCCATTCATCCAATATTTGTGATTTCCAAACGAAGGTGCATTTGGAAAGCAGTAGTTTGAAAACTAGTCAGCAGCACAAGATAAATACGGTTATGTCTTTGTCTTCTTGGAGTATTGATTTTACTCAGTAGTTGGGGAGAGAGATGGGAACATTAATTGCCTGTTAAAATTTGCACCAGGGCAAAATCTGAATGAAATTTTAAAATAAAATCTGAAGCTTCAGAGGCTCTCACAGAAGACCCCCCGGGGCTCCGGGTGTCATTGCTTCTGTCTAAGGGGACGCTGAAGAGGCCCTGCCCTCCAGGGGTGCCGCCTCTGAGAATCAAAGGGGCCCAAGGTCACAGCCAGGACCTGAACCCAGGCCCCCTGACTCTAAAATCCACGCCCTCTGAGTGGGGCCTAGAACAGGCCACTCCTGCTCTTCAGTACTCTGCTCCGGCCTTTACCTCACAGACTCACCAGGCCCTGCCACGTTCCAGCACAGCGATGGGGACCCGGCAGGTGCGGACGGGGCCAGCGAGGCTCTGAAAGACGTGTCCCTGATTCTCTGCAGGTTCCTGGCCTTGGTCCAGGAGAAGTATCCCGAGGCCACCCTGTCTCCGGGCTGGACCACCCTCTACTTGCCCCTGTTCCCGAGCAGCACGTACACCCGCGCCATGATAGAGAAGATGCAGGCGCTGGTGGGAGCGGTGCCACAGAGGGTCACCTTCCCTGTTCGGGCTGTCATGGTGCGGGCTGCCTGGCCCCAGTTCAGCTGGCTGCTGGGCCAGTCGGACAGGTGAGCATGCCCCGCCCCCGGGCCCAGCCCCGGCTCCTGCTAACCCCACCCTTAGGCACTGGTGCCCCCAGGAAGCATGCCCATGGCTGGGACTTAAAGATTCTAGCCTAACACATCCAGACAGCATTCCTCTCAGCTTGGATGCTCACCATCACCTGAGGCAGCCGTCTATTATGGATAACTAACTTCCTGCCTGTTTGGGTTTACACTAAGACATAAGTTACCTCCCCTCAGCTTCCTCCCAGGTTGCACCTGCAACCTCTGCCCCAGGGTAGTCTCCCAGCCCCACCATCGGCAGCCGCTCCCAGCTACCCAGCCGCACCTTCAGGAGCTCCCCACAGGAGTCCTGAGGCTTTCCCCTTCGTTCACACCCGACTGCTCTCCTCTCCCCTGCGCCCATCCCCTTTCCTAAAACAGAAAAGAGGCTCCCTCTCCCTCCTTCTGGGCTTCTGCTTTCAGTTATCCTCCCCACAGTCCCTGCGGCTTCTTCTCCCAGGAAGGGGGTAGCGCTCTGGAAGAAGGGGCTGGTGGGAAGTCAGAGGCTCCGCCCCTATCCAGCTAGGTCCAGTTCCAAGCACGGGGACTGAGGACCTAGCTGGGCCCAGGCCGACGCTGAGCCTGCTCTCGGGGCCCCAGGTACAGCCTGACACTGTGGCAGGGTGCCTCAGACCCCGTGTCCGTGGACGATCTCCTCTACATCCGGGACAACTGTGCCACCCACCAAATCTACTATGACCTCTACGAGCCTGTCCTGTCGCAGTTCAAGCAGCTTGCAAGTAGGGAGTGGTCTGGGAGGGTGGGGCTGGATTCTGCAGGGTGGGCATCGGGAGGGGAAAGCCTGGGTGGAATAGGGAGAAGGAACCACTCAAAGCACCTACTGTGTGCCAGACCCAGTGTCCCATGCTAGCTAAGCTTCATATATCCATAGAGCAGCAATTCCATTTTCATACACGGGAGAACGGAGGTTCAGAATCATTAAGGAATTTATACAGCCATTCAGCTCGTACATGGCACAGCTCAGATTGGAGCCCAGGAAATTCCAAACCCATGTACCTCCCCTGGCAGCCTCGATTCTCTGTGGGTTACGCTAACATTTCAGAGACCGGCCCCTCTGCTGCCTCCACTCGCCAACAATCCAGATGCTGCCTGTTCCCTTGCTCAAACCCCTCACTCCCCGACTCCGAACCTGGGAGAGCCTGCAGCTAGGCCATGGGCCCGTCAGGTTCCACATTCCTCGCCTGGGAGCCACCCAGGTGACGGGGAACCAGACAAACCTGGCTCCATCCCGTTCCAATCCCAGCATCTCTGCCACTGACTGCGGGATCTTGGGCAAGCCACTTCCCGTCACCTACAAGACGGGAAATGACAGCTGCCTGGCAGGTTGCTGTGAGGGTTAGAATGTGTGGGAAGCTGTGGCACACAGAAGTCGCTCTGTGAAGAGCAGCCCCATCATCGTGACAATTTGGGGTCCCACAGTGAATGCCACACGGAAGCGAAGTTACTACTCCGGAGGCAGCCTGATCCCTCTCCTCCAGCCTCCGGGGGGCGACGCTCTGCGCGTGGAGTGGCGGGTTCCTGACATCCAGGGCAATGCAACAGCGGCAACCGTCCAACTCCCAGGTGAGGGCTGCAGCCCCGAGCTCCCAGCTCAGCTGCGGGGGCCTCCCTTACCCTGGCAGCAAACCAGCTGGGCGGTGGGGGAGGACAGGGTTGCCAAGGAGGTGGGGTTCCCGGCCTTCGGACCAGCACCCCAGAGCCCTGAGCCACACTGAGCTGGGAAAGAGGCAGGCGCAGTCCTGGTTCCTCTGTCTTCTCTCCCAGGAGGAGAAGGCATGATCCTGCTGCACGTCGTCCTCCAGAAGCCCGCCGCCGTCGGAGATGCCGTGCCGGTCGTGCGCGCCCCGGGCGGTCCTGCCCTGGCGCTGGATTCGTGCCTGCTGCAGCTCGCCACCCACCCCGGACGCTGGGGAGTCCACCTGCACATAGCTGAGCCCACGGCCCTCCGGCCAGCCCTGGCCGTGCTGGCCCGCCTCTCCGGCCTCCGTCGCCTTCCCCTGCCCGTGTGGGTGGGGGCCACCGTCTCCCACGGGAGCTTTGCAGCGCCTGGCCACGTGGCCGGCGAGGAGCTGCTTTCCGCCGTGGCCCAGGTGTTCCCCCACGTGACGGTGGCCCCGGGCTGGCCGGAGGAGGCGCTGGGCGGTGGCTACGGGGAGCAGCTGCTCACGGACATGCTGGAGCTGTGCAAGGGCCTCTGGCAGCCCGTGTCCTTCCAGCTCCGGGCCGGGCTGCTGGGCCACAGCACGGCCGGCGTGGTGGCCAGGTTGCTGGCGGCCTCCCCCAGGGCCACGGTCACCGTGGAGCACAGCCCCGCGGCGGGCAGCTACGCATCCGTGCGGAAAGAGCTGCTGGCGGCCAGGGCCGTGGACAGGACCCGGGTCTACTACAGGCTGCCCCAGAGCTACCGCAAAGACCTGCTGGCAGATGTCGGCGGAAACTGACCGCCCGGCGGTGCTGGACAGGAGGCCCCTGGGGCCAGGCTTCCCGTGGGGGAGGCAGGAAGAAATAAACGCCCCTGCCTTCCTCACTGCGCTGCACGTGTGTCCCGGGCGGACGGCGTGGGGGCGTGGGCGCTGCTGAGGCGCCTAGAGGGTCTGCAGGCTGGGGGCCAGGTCGTTGCGATTGTCCAGAAGGAACTTCTCGCAGGCCTTGAAAGTGTTGTAGAACTCCAGAGAGAGGCCGGCCACGTTGGTGGTCACGTAGTTGAGGAAGCCCGAGGTGGCCTGGTTGTAGTAGGACACCTGCAGGACAGGAAGCCGCGCTCAGGGTGCTGGGCCGGGGGCGGGAGGGCAGTCTGCCCCGCGGGCCTGCGGAGAGGGCAGCAGCCTGGGGTCTCCGAAGGCCACTGACTGGCAGGCATGGCCGCCTCAGCAGTTCCCCCGGCCCCTCCCCTCCCCTCTGGGTACTGACAACCCTAGGTCCCTGCCATCACACACTGTCCTGTCATCGGGGAGGCCCTGCAAGACGAAGAGCAGAACCCAACACAGACTCCTGTTTAAAGGAAGGCCTATTAGTAAGGGGACCAGACATCCCGCTTTTGGTGGGACAGTCCCGATTTTTAACAATTTGTCCCGAGTCCCGCGGCGTTTTTAAAAAGTTCATTTTTAACATTTTGCCCCACATCCCACAGTGTTTAAAAAAAAAAAAAAAAAATCCCCGTTTTTGAACTGGGACTTCTTTAAAAAGTTGTGGGACACGGGGCAAATTATCAAAAATCGGGATTGTGCCAGAACCGGTTTGGCTCAGTGGATAGTGTCAGCCTGAGGACTGAAGGGTCCCAGGTTCGATTCCGATCAAGGGCATGTACCTCGGTTGTGGGCACATCCCCAGTGGGGAGTGTGCAGGAGGCAGCTGATCGATGTTTCTCTCTCATCGATGTTTCTAATGCTCTATCCCTCTCTCTTCCTCTCTGCGAAAAATCAAAAATATATATATATATCTTTTTAAATCGGGACTGCTGCCAAAAGTGGGACGTCACCTTACTATCATATTAGGGCCTTAAGAGACGAATTACAGCTACGCCCAGGGATTGTACTGAGAAGCTCATCGGGGAAGTGTGTTGCCGGAACAAGTTTCAGGGCCTGGACAACAGCTGTGCATCCAGGAGGGCAACTGTGCAGACCCCACCACCCCACCACCACACACACACACACACACACACACACACACTTCACTCTCAGCCCCTCCCCCACATTTCCAACACCGACTGCCCTTCTGCATCAGATGGGCCCTGAGAACCAGAGAAAGCCCTCCCAGACAAGGAGCACATGGATTTTAGATGAGGACCAGGGCCTCCTGGCCTCAGCAGGCAGAGCTTTCTCCAAGACCCTGCAGGGTTAGATTTGAGTGAAGGCTCACTGCTAATCCCTGACGTGCTTAGGTTCCCCAGACTGGAGGAACCCACTGTCGGGCAGGGGTGGGGCCCACGGCTGCAACTGTGAGCCGCTCAGTGCTGAGCTCCGCCCATGCATGTGGGTTTGGGGTGGCTCAGGTCAGGGAAGGGGACCCTTGGCCTCACCTTGGTCATCTGGTCCCCTTCGCGCCAGATGCAGAAGCCTGAGCAGAGGGTCTCCCCACGCCGGTACTCTGGCGTCTCCGGGTGGGTGGGCAGCGTAACGGACCGCAGTGCAATGATGTAGGGGTCCCTGGAGTGAAGGGAGGGGAGAGCACAGAAGGAGATGAGGATTGTCTTGCCCAGCGCAGGCTCTGGAGCCCCCTCTGGCACTGACCCAGCCTCCGGAGCTCCCTTAGGCACTGACACCAGAGTCTAAAATCCTGTAAACTCTTGGCGGGCCCATGTCTGCTCCGGGCCAGGCTGCAGAGGAGGCACCTCTACGCAAACAGCACTGCATTTGCCAGGAGCCAGCGTGACTCCCTGCAGATTTTCCAGAAAAGCGAGTGGGCTTTGGGATTTGCACGCTTCACCTTTCGGTGCCGATCTAGCCGAAGTGAGGCTGTCTGTCCGGCATCCTCACCAGGGCTCAGCATGGAGGCCAAGGCAGCGCCTCCTGAGAGCTGGCCTTGCCACCTCAGGGTCGGGGATTACCCTGCTTTAGAGGGGCGGGTGTTCTCTGGCCTCTCAGAAAAGCCAATAGGAAGCAGAAAGCTGGCTCTAGGCTGAGGTCCCCCCTCTGGGGAGGGAACTGATCCCTGCCCACTTCCCACCCAGCAGGCAGGCACTCACCCTTGGTCGCAAGGCTTCCGCCGAGAGGCCAGGATCACGAAGTCCTGGGGCTTGGGGTCGTTGCCGAGGGTGGGGCTGATGACGTGGTAGATGGCATCGTCCTCGTCCACCTGCTGCACTAGTTCCACGTTCCTGTGAGGAGGCCCAGACAGCAGGGCCCGAGAGGGTCACACCAGCTCCTTGTAGGAAAGCAGGTCTGGCCCAGCCTCCCTGAGCCAACGCTAGGGGGCACTTCAGCCCCTACACACTCAGCAGAGCCCACAGAAGGGCAACAAGGCCTGGCCAAGATGCATGCATGCACACACACACACACACACACACACACACAAGCAAATACATACACGTGCACAGACAAACATCTATAGGCATAGCTGCATGCTCAAACACATGGACACAGACCCATGGGTGTCGGACGTGCCAACTCAGAGATGTGCGGATTTCCTGGTTGTACTGAGCATTTAGTGAGCATCCACTGTGTGCCATGCACGGCTCTAAGAGCTTCGGTGTACCATGCATTTCAGCCCGGAAGCAGGTGCTCTTAGCAGCCCCTCTTCATAGAGGAGGGGCTGAGTCTCGGGGAAACAACCTGCCCACAGACACAGAGCAAATAGAGAAGCAGAGCTGGAATGTGCCCAGGCTGTCAGGTGCCAGGCCTGTGCCCCTCAGCCCAGGTACACTGTTCCCATGTGCCTGTACATACATGTAGGCGACCAGGGGTGGGGAACCTTTTCCTGCCAAGGATATTTATGACATCACTAGAGGCCTGGCACACAAAAATTCTTGCACTGGGAGGGGCTGCGGGAGAGTGTCCCTTAGCTTGGCCTGCATCCTCTCACAATCCGGGACCCCTCGGGTAGGGTCCCTAGGTCTGGGCTGAGATCAGGGTGTAATGGGGCTTTCCTTCCCTGGGCTGCAGGCAGCTGGCCCCACCCCCACCACTGCCACTGCCTGCCATCTGTGCAGTGCTGCCCCCTCTTCTTCTGCCATTAGTGGCCTCCCTCTGCAGGCAACAGGTTGAGGTGCAATGGCTTGGCTGGCCTGGGCCTCCCTCTTTCTTTGCGGGGGGGCAGGGCCAGCCCTGTGAGGGGCTGTCTGCCTACCTGATCACCCCTAACCACTTGCCTGCCTACCTGATCACCTCTAACTGCCTATCTGCCTACTTGATCATCCCTCTGCCTGCCTGATTGCCTCTTACTGTTTGCTTGTACCACTTACTTAGGGGAAGGGCCAGCACTGACTTTTTGGTTGGTCAGCCTCTGGTCGTTACTGGTCATCACGACCCAGGGTTTTTATATTTTAGGATTCCTGGGCCATACAAAATTATCAACTGACAACTTAGCCTGCTATATTTGGTCAGACATTTCATTCACTCACCCCTAATGCCTTGGCAGGGCCAGACCAAATGATTTCATGGACCTTACACAGCTCACAGGCCCGATGTTCCCCACCCCTGGCTTATAGCAGCACACCCACGTACACATACTCACACATATTCACACATATGCACACACTCACACATATGAGGACATCCATAGAGGTACATATGACCATGTCTAGACCTTCCCCCTTCTCCCCTGCTCCTCTGCTCACCCACAGAGGCTGTCTCAGGAGCAGGGTGGAGAGAAGCAACTTGGAGCTCTCTTACCCTTCAAGCTCCTTCCCCCAAATCCCATCAAACAGCAAGATCTGAGCTGGCCTTCGAGGCCCACCCCAGCCCACTTCCTCCCAGAAGCCTTCCTACCATACAGCCAGCTTCCCACTGTCCACCTGCAGATCACCTCTCAAAATTCTCAAATGGCACTGCCAGCAGGCCTCGGTCACCTAGACCAGGGCCTTTTAAAGTAGCACAGCCCCTTTTACAAAGAAATCTTAAGCCGAAACTGGTTTGGCTCAATGGATAGAGCGTCAGCCTGCAGACTGAAAGGTCCCGGGTTCGATTCCGGTCAAGGGCATGTACCTTGGTTGCGGACACATCCCCAGTAGGGGGTGTGCAAGAGGCAGCTGATCGATGATTCTCTCTCATCGATGTTTCTAACTCTCTATCCCTCTCTCTTCCTCTCTGTAAAAAATCAATAAAGTATATTTTTTAAAAATCTTAAGCAGAAAGCCTGTGTATGAACAGCTGCAAGTGGACCTGCTCAAGTGAGGACACGTGGAGGGGTAGGAGAGAGAAGGCCAATTTATCAAAAATCAGACGACCCGCTCGCTGGATTTCTAAGAGCACAGGTCCTCTTTGTGGACAGACTCGGAAGCAGAGGCTCCTCGTCACAAACCAGGGGAGAAACGATCAAAGAAGCGCCCCCCAAAGCAGCAAGTTGGCATAATAGACAATGACGTCACGGGGACTTGACAAAATACCGCTTTCAACTTAACATACTAAACACTGAAATCCTGGCTGTTTCTGTCTACATCCAGACGTAGAAGTAACACATGGTAAATTTAGTGAACTGGCCTTCCTATTAGTTGGCCTGAATCGGGGAAGGGGTCCCAGCCACACTTTCAGCCTTCCCCCCGCCACCCCACGCAGTATCTGGAACTCTCTTGGCAACAGAAAACGCCATAGAACACAGATTGAAAATCACTGATCTATCCCTAAGGGTAAACCCTCACCTCTGAAGCACACATTTTAAGAGGAAGAAAACCACGCCCAGGAATGAAATGGAAATTACTTGCCCAAGGTCACACAGCTAGTTGGACCAGAAACAGGACCAGGCTTTCAACTTTGAGTCCAGGCTCAGTCCTTCTCTGAAGGCTCAGAATAACCCTGACCCTGACTCCCACCTAACACATTACTCCAGTCCCCTACCCCACTTCCCCCCACCCATTCCTCAAAGGCCAGCCGGGCTGAGCACAGTAAGGAATAGCTCGGCAGAAGGACACCTGAGGACCTGCCCTCCCCGTCAGGCCTGGGACGGGAACTGGCCCCACCAGTGCGCTGGCCCTCACCGGTAATGCTTGTCCCACTCGGGCCTCCGACGCAGGTCTGAGAGCAGCAGGAAGGCGTGGGCCGCATCCACATTCACCAGCATCTCCATGTGGAAGGAGAGGTACTTGTCATCCTCCAGGGTGTACAGGCCGACCTGCGTGGGGCAGAGGGTGGCCTCATTCATGTATCCCCCTCCCAGACTCTGCTGGTGGTGGGATGGGCTGACTGGGATGCTGGAGGCCAGGGCTAGAAGCTCAGACTTGCTGTGTGGCTGCAATTAAGTGACTCAACCTCTCTGAGCCTCAGTCACATCCCTATGAAAATGGGTGTTGAGATAACTCAGCACAAGTGGACAGAAAGGTGTTTTAAGAAGCAGTGACTTGCTGGGCCAGCGTGGCTCAGTGGTTGAGCTTCAACCAGTTGGATTCCCGGTCAGGGCACATGCCCAGGCGGCAAGGTTGACCCCTCCAGTGAGGGATGTGCAGGAGGCAGCGGATCAATGATTCTCTCTCATCATTGATGTTTCTATCTCTCTCTCCCTCTCCTTTCTCTGAAATCAATAAATATATTTTAATCCCCCTTCTGCCCTGGCCAGTGTTTCTCAGTGGTTAGAGTATTGCCCTTCCAACCAAAGAGTCTTAGGTTCAATTCCTGGTCAAGTGCACAAACCTCAGTTGTGGGTTTCCTCCCTGGCCCCAGCCCTAGCGCATGCAGCAGGCAATCAGTTAGTGTGTCTCTCTTACATTGATGTTTCTCTGTCTCTTCCCCCATCCCTTCCACTCTCTCTAAGAAAAAATTATCCTCGGGTGAGGATTAACAAAAGCAAAAAAAGCAAAAACAGAAATCCCCTTCTGACATGAGTGACTTGAGGGATTTTTGTTGCTGGCAGCCGGCCACCTCTGGCTGCTCAGAAGGGAAATGGCAGGCGGGTGCGGTCAGCTACCTGGTTGATCTCCGCGGACAGCGCCCAGTTGTTCTTGGCTGCAAGCATCTTCAGGGAGGAGATGTTGTTGTAGCTCAGGTACACCTGGACAGGGCACACCACAGAGAAGCCTCGCCTTCTCCCCTCCCGCAGGCTCGGAGCTGAGGCCATGCTGGGGCGGGGGAGGAGCTGGGATGGGGCAGGAGGGTGGGTGCTGGGCTTTGGGAAAGGAGGCCCAGGGCTGGCCAGACTGGCCCAGGGACCCTGGACAAGCCGCTCCTCCTCTCAGGGCCTCAGCTCCCTCCTGCCAAACAGGGACATCAGGAAAGCCCTTTGGGAACTGTGTGCATCTTGAGGCGTTAGCATGCCATTCCCTTCCGGCCTACCTCCAAACCCGCTCTGACCACAGGGAAGGGTGGGCCTGAGGACGCTCCCCTCGGAGCTGGGGCCTTACCTGGTTGCTAGGGTCCCAGGGGACAGAGAGCGGCATCTCGTCCTGCTTACAGGACACAATGTACTTCCTGGGAGAGAGGAGAGAGGACAGCCTTGATTTCTTGGGAGCCCATCTCTTTGAACAGGCTTTGCTGCATGCCAACTGTGCCAGGCCCTGTGCTCAGCCCAGCGGGTAGGAGAGACCCCTGCCTGGCCAGGGAGACTGCATGGGCACACAGAACACAGCAGCAAGAACATACAAACTCAGGCAGAGGAAGGATGGGATGAGGGGAGGGGTGCCAGTGCCGGTGCCAATGCCACATACCCTGGCTGAGCCAAAGCGACTTCGCCATTATGCCTCAGTGTCCTCGTCTGTGAAATGGGATCTGTGGTCACCCTGCCTCCTAGGGGTGACTTGGCATGTAAATGCCCCATAAACACACCCTTTCCTTACTAACCACAAAAGGTGGTAAAGTGCTTCCTTGAGCCATCGCCTCTCCTCTCTGGGCCTTTCTTTCTTCATCTGCCAAGTGGGCATCAGAGTCAGTGGAAGGAGCAAAAGATTTTACATCGCCCAGATCCGGCCAATCATTCCTGTGTGCCCGTGGCCACAATCCCTCCGTTCTCAGTGCCCTCGCCTGTACAAGGGGCCAGTCAGCCATGGGGTGTGGAGTGAGGTGACATGGATATAGAGGGCCCAGCCAGTTCCCAGCACAGGCGCCGCATCGAAGAAATGCAAGTCCCTGAGGCTGGGGAGCAGGCGGACAGCCCTGGACCCTGTGTCCCCTCCCACCCTCAGCCCCAACTTGCCTGTCCAGGCGGATCTTCCTCCTGGCACTGGCCTCTCGGTACCGCCGCTCGCCGTCCTGGGCAGAGAAGCAGGGACAGACTATGGCACAGATGGGACAACAACTTGGCCCCCCATCCCTGTTACTGCCTGACCACCCCACCCCCAAGGGCCCAAGGAGGTCCTGCAGCCCTTGTGTGTTCTGGCTCCACGGGGGCAGCTGGAGTCAAAGCAACCTGAACAGGAACACGCCAGGTCACTGAGCCCAGCTTCCCCTCAGGCGCTCTGAGGGACCCTGGGAACCATTGCCCTCACCAGACCTCAGTTTCCTCCTCGGGAGAATGGGAGTCCTAAGGGCACTTACAATGGTAAATAGAACCCACATTTATTGAGCACTTACTACGTGCCAGGCATTCATCTCAAGTGCTTTCCATGCAACATTTCATTTAAGCCTTACACCATCCCTCTGCCGTTGGGACTAGTATAATCCCACTTTACAGAGGAGGAAACTGAGGCACAGGAAGGTTAAGCGACTTGCCCAGGGTCACAGAACAGAGCACTGACGGGCTGACTCAGAGCCTGCCCTCTTCACTTCTACTTCTAAGGTGTCCTCACTCGGGAGCATTAATCGGCAAAGGTCCGGAAGGTACCGCCCATCTCCCAGGCTCCCACTGCCCCACAGACCGCCCACTCTTGACTGGCCAACACCCAGCTACGGAGCAGGGAAGGCTACAGCCACACTCAGCCTTGTGAGGCGGGCAGGACAGGGACCTTCCCAGAGAGAGCTCACTCCCTGATCCTCCAGCGCAGGCCAGGCCTAGCCCCGTGGAGTCACGAGGCAGCATTATTTGGAAGGACAGACTCTGAACCCAGGACCTGATTCTCATTCCTGCCTCCTTGCTCTCCTTCACCATCGTCATCACGGTCGCCACCTCCTGAGTGTCCACAGGCCTTACCCAGGCCCGGGGTCAATATCCCACTGAGCCCACAGCCCTGTGAGAACGGGGCTGCAGGTACACATCCGCTTTACAGATGGGGACCGAGCGCTCACAGGGGCGCCACTAGAATGGAGCAGAGCTGGCTCCCACCCACATCTGTCCCCGGAGCCAGTGCCCTTCCAGCTGTCAGCACCCACGAGGAGCCAGGCCCACATGCACGGTCTGAACTCTTCCGGGCAGAAAAGTTTCCACCTGGCACAAGGGGCATTACCAGGGGCCACACCAGGACACCCAGCCGACGGGCAAGGCCGGGCTTGTTGCTCTCGGGCCTGTCAGGAGCTGGCATGCACCCCAACCCTGGGCAGAGAGGGAAGAACAGGGCTGGGGGGAGGGCAGGGTGCTGCACCCACTCACCCCAGGCTGGGGCCGAATCCAGGGCAGCATCTGGGGCTGGTCATTTGGGTCCAGGACCACAAAGGTCATGAAGGCGCTGTTGATGTGCCGGCGATGGGCCTCGGCCTCCTGGCGGTAGGCCTCCACGCACACGCCCACCTCCATGCTGCAGGCGAGGGAGGGCTGCTCTCAGGCTGGACAGACTTCCCTCGGCCTGGCCCCTCCCAACACACATGCACACGTGCATGTGCTCGCACACACACGCACTCCTGCAGTCCCTCCTGGGTCAGAGCCCCGCTGGCAGGAAACCCAGAGCTGCTCCCTTTGGTCAGTGTCTACAGAGCACCTACTGTGTGCTTGGCCCTAAGCCAGTCACTGGGGAATGAATAAGTCCGGTCTATGATCTCATAGACTTAACAGCTGGGGGTTGCAGCAACAGATATGTACATATGATGATAGTATGAAAATATGTTATGGAAGAACACAAGCAAGGAGAGGGAGGTGCTGGGCCCAATTAGAAAAGATGTATATTATATAGCCAATCGTCAGCACTTTATTTTTTATTTTATTTTTAAAAATATATTTTATTGATCTTTTACAGAGAGGAAGGGAGAGAGATAGAGGGGTAGAAACATCGAGGAGAGAGAAACATCGACCAGCTTCCTCCTGCACAGCCCCGCCTGGGGATGTGCCTGCAACCAATGTACATGCCCTTGACCGGAATCGAACCTGGGACCTTTCAGTCCTCAGGCCAACGCTCTATCCACTGAGTCAAACCGGTTTCGGCAAATCGTCAGCACTTTATAAACAGCTCAGTGGCTGCTGTTTCTCTATATCTGACTGTCTTTATTAATTATAAAATAGCAGCTACCACCCTTCCCCACAGTTAAGAAGGTCTTGACCCCATAATGTAGACCAAGATGGGGACACCAAGACCTAGAACAGGGCAGTAAGTTGCCCAAAGTCACACAACAGTCAGGAGAGAATCTGGGCTAGAAACCAGGCCTCGGGGCTCTCCCCCTGCATGGCAGCAGAATGTGTGCTGCCCAGGCTGTGAATAATAATAATAATAATAATAATAATAATAATAGCAGCAGCAGCAATGGCTGACCTTCACTGAACATGTTCTGTGGCATTCTACTAGTAACCGGTCTTTGAAGCCTTAAAACTGTAAAATAGTTGGGGTGTGAAGCAGAATACAGACACCCTCCTAGCTGAGACACTTCTGATCCTCATAGCCACTTGGCTTGGAGATCAACGCTTCCCAGTGATACCAACAACAAGCAAGGCTTAACAACAAGACTGCACACACAGCCCACAAAGGGCTACATCAAGACTGTCCACCTCAGGTAACTGGGAGGCTGACTCACTGAACCATATAGGACACCTTAGCATACAAAGCCACCCTACCAACTCAGGGAAGCTGTGAAAATGCCGAGACAAGGAAATAGATCACAAACAAAAGAAATGGAGGAAAAGAAGACACTGGATATAGAGGTCAAAACCACGCTTATAAGGTTTTTCAAGAATTTCCTAGAAAAGGTCAATAAGACCTATGAGGAGATGAAAAGGGATCAACAAGAACTAATAAGGGATCAACAAGAAATAAATAATACATGGTCTGAAATAAAAAATATTATAAATAAATATATATTATACAGAGTCCTAAAAACAGAATGGAAGATCACAAGAATCAAGTCAAAGATTTGGAACATAAAGAGACAGAAAACACTCCTCTGTAGAAGCAAGAAGACAAGAGAATCCAGAAAGTTGAAGATAATGTAAGAAACCTCTGGGACAACTTCAAGTGAACCAACATCAGAATTATGGGGTCCCAGAAGATGAGAGAGAGCAAGATATCAAAAACATACTGAAAGAAATAGTGACAGAAAACTTCCCCCACCTGGTGAAAGAATTAGACTTACAAGTCCAGGAAGCGCACAGAACTCCAAACAAAAGAAATCCAAAAAATACCACACCAAGACACATCATAATTAAATTTCCAAGAGCAAAAGACAAAGAGAGAATATTAAAAGCAGCAAGAGAAAAGCAGGTAATTATCTATAAAGGAGCAACCATACAATTGTCAGCTGATTTCTCAACAGAAACCATGCAGGCCAGATGGAAATGGCAAGAAATATTCAAGGTGATGAATAGCAAGAACCTACAGCCAAAAATAATCTACCCAGCAAAGCTATCACTCAGAATCGAAGGCCAGATAAAGAACTTCACTAATAAAAAAAAGCTAAAGGAGTTCATCACCGCCAAACCAGAATTATATGAATTGCTGAAGGGGGTTCTTTCGGAAGAGAAAGTAAATAAAAGGTAAAAGCTATGAACAACTATCAACAAGTGAATCTAAAAACCAAGGGAATTTAAAAAACCTGATGAACAATATTAACTGTGGAATATAATAGAATCAGAGGTATGGAAGGGAAGTGAACTGATGATTCTCAGGGAAAAGGGGAGAGGGGGGTGTGGGAAGAGACTGAATATAAACTGTGCACTTATGGATGAGGACAATGGGGGGTGGGGAAAGGGCAGAGGGTGAGGTGGGAACCTGGTGGAGGGGAGCAATGGAGGGGTGGTGGAAATGAGGAACATTTGTAATAATATGAACAATAAAGATTTATAAAATAAATAAATAAATAAATAAATAAATAAATAAATAAATATTTTTTTTTTTTAAATAGTTGGGGTGAGCCCCATTTTACATGACCTGAGGCTCAGAGGGGTTGGGTAACTTGCTCAAAGTCACACAGTTCATAAGAGGTGAGCCAAACTTGAACCTCAGCAGCCTGGCTCCAGATCCCTTGCTTTATCAACGACACTATATGATCTTTGGAATCACCAAAAAAGGTATTTAAAGTGAGCTTTCAGCCGAAACCGGTTTGGCTCAGTGGATAGAGCATCAGTCTGCGGACTGAAAGGTCCCAAGTTCGATTCTAGTCAAGGGCATGTACCATGGTTGCGGGCACATCCCCAGTAGGGAGTATGCAGGAGGCAGCTGATCAATGATTCTCTCTCATCGATGTTTCTAATTCTCTGTCCCTCTCTCTTCCTCTCTGTAAAAAAATCAATAAAATATATTTAAATAAGTAAATAAAGTAAGTAAGTAAGCATTCATGGGCGTAGCTGTCAGGATTCATTTCAAAGATAAACGCTTTGGGGACTAAGTTTTGTTTTAGGCAAAGGGAGGGAAAAGGTACGATGACAACAGAATACTGGCAGAGGGTGGCCCTGGGATCCACAGTGTGCAGGCGTGGAGGCAGGAGCCGGGGAGAGAGACAGGGAACAGACACGTGGCACGACCCAGGGCTGGGGCGCCCAGAGCAGGAGCATCAGAGTTGAATCTTGGGGAAGGTGGAAGGACTGAGCAGCAGGACAGGGGTTAGATCTCAGCTGGGACTAAGGTTCCGGGCAGGTTTGCAATAGGGTCCGCTCTCATGTCAAGAAGAGCCCTCAGCCCCCAGGGACCCCGATCCTGCCCACCCCAGGCCCTCACCTATGTTTGAAGGCGTTGTTCACGATGGCCTTGAGCACCAGGCGGTCCCCAACCTGGGATGGTCCCCGGAAGTGAAACATCTCAATGGCCTTCAGCGTCGGGTGGGCACGACACAGCCGGCTGCAGGAGGCCAGGGGGTGGGGACAGGAGAAAGGCCCCTAGTGCTTTAGCCACTGGCTTACACCAGCCTCTGCCCCTACCCCCATGCCCAGACCTAACCAAAACCACATGCACCACCTCCAGGCCCATCCACTCCCTCTCAGTGACAGTTCCGCCCAGAGGAGCAGAACTGAGTCCCATTTCAGAGCCTGGAATACTGAGGTCTACGTGCATGGGCTGAGAGCAGCTGAGTTTGAAGTGGCAGAAGGAAGGCTAGGGTAGGGCTTGGGGTATTCCCCATCCCATTTTCCTTCCAACCTTTGTATTTTAGTACCTGCTGGAAGTCCTCCCCATATCCAAAGCTACTTGTCATCCAAGGCCCAGCTGAAGTGCTCCTCCTCCAGGAAGCCTTCCTGGACTATCCAGACTCTGACTTTTCTCTGAGATCTTATTGCACTCGTAGTTTGAACTGCCCCCAAAGGGCGCTGCTTATATGCTGTGGCTAAGGGAAGGAGGGGAGAAAGGAAGGGAGGCACAAGCAGTACACTCTCCCCTCACCTGGCTGCAATGGTGGCCACATTCTCCATCCAGGCCATGATCTGGCCCCCGAAGGTATTGCCCTGGTGATTGGCATGGGGAGGCAGGACCAGCTCCACACTCTCCACGCGTGTCTTCTCAGCCGGCACCACGTGGCTGCAGTCTCTGCTCTCCAGATCTGACCAAGGAGAGGCGGAGGGAGGGAGGGGGGGAGATGAGAGGCTTTCCAAGGGCAGGCCTTCCGCATGGGGCAGCCCAGGACTCCTCCACCACCTCTCTGCCCCACCCACATTATTTTATTTTCTCAGCACCTAGTGGGCTGGACCTACACGAGGAATGGGGGGAACTGGATGAGAGAGATGAGGCCGGCACAGAGCAAAGGGCAGAACCCGAGCTTTGAGACAACACACACCTGGGTGTGCAACTCAGCTCCACCCCACTGAGGCAGTATGACCTTGGGCAAGTCAATACCCTTTCTACACCTCAACTTTCTATCTGTAACGGGCAGATGTCAAACTCAACCAGAAAGGACAGTGAAGATGAAATGTGGTCTCCATTCTAGAGTGCCTGGCACCAAACTCAGGAGGCACACTCAGGGATAGTTCTTCCCTCCCCTGCCTGGCATGCACTGTCCCTTAGGGGCAAGGGCATAAGGATACCCTCAGGAGGAGAGGCCAGAGAGCTCAGGGAATCAGATGCTAACATGGACCACCCAACCCAAGGAAGCGCCGTCTCCCGGGGACAAAGACCTCCCTGGGAGGACCCATCAAATAGGCAGCATTTTGCTGGCTTGCAGTCTGCTCAGATGCCGCAGACAGGGGGAGGGGAAGGGAGGTTACAGGCCTGAGCCAAGACCTGGAGGCAGACAGTCACAGTCACGGGGAGAATCAGACCTTGGCTCGGCTGGGCAGAGGGCAAGTAAGGGACAGCACCAGATGAGGCTGAGCGGTCAGCCAAGGGCCTGGATGTTGGCTAGGACATCTGGACAGACCCGTGGGCAGAAGGGCGGTCATGACAGGAGGGATGTCAGAGGACTGCAGTGGGATGGATGGCTCCCGGGGGGCTTGACTACAGAAGGGAGAGCTGGACCTGCCCAATCACAGCCCCCGGGTCCAGAGAAAATAGGCTGCACAGAATTCACAGCACAGCCGACCGCTTTCATGGAGGTAGCTAGTTCGACTTGTCCTAAAATTGCCTCCTTGTCGTTTCAAGGAAGGCTCCACATCTTAATGTTCTGGAGCTCAGTGAGCAAATCCAAGGTCACCCCTCTGACCCTTTGCCCAGCTATGCCCTCTGCCAGGAGTACCTTTCCTTATCTCCCCCTGATAAAGCCCTGCCAGTCCACAGTCGGTGTGCGTGCCCTGGTACAGAACAAGCTCCAAGATGCACTTTAAGGGGGAAGAAGCAAGATACAGAACAGTATGTACTGCGCCTTCCCTTCTGGGTAAAAGAGGGGCCAAGTAAGACACAGGGGGGAATGTGCAGCAAATGCCTCTGGAAAGATGCCCCAACATGAGGAACAACAGGTGCCTCTGGAGGGACTTGTTTTTATCTCTAGCTCTAGATCTATGCCTGTACCTATGCCGACATCTATATCTACCTACCAACCTACCTACCTCTATGCTTTTTAAAAATCCTGGAGTCATGCCCTAGCCGGTTTGGCTCAGTGCATAGAACATCGGCCTTCAGACTGAAGGATCCTGGGTTCAATGCCCATCAAGGGCACATGCCACGGTTGCAGGCTCTGTTCCCAGTAGGGGGCATGCAGGAGGCAGCAGATCGATGATTCTCTCTCATCATTGATGATTTTCTCTCTCTCCCTCTCCCTTCCTCTCTGAAATCAATAATATATATATATATATATATATATATATATATATATATATATATATATTAAATCCTAGGGTCACCGAAACTAGTTTGGCTCAGTGGATAGAGCGTCACCCTGTGGACTGAAGGGTCCCAAGTTCAATTCTGGTCAAGGACATATACCATGGTTGCAGGCATATCCACAGTGGGGGGGGGTGCAGGAGGCGGCTGATCAATGATTCTCTCTCATCAATGTTTCTAACTCTCTATCCCTCTCCCTTCTTCTCTGTAAAAAAATCAATAAAATATATTTTTTTAAAATAATAAAATAAAATCCTAGAGTCTTCAAGGTTAAGTTCAATACTACTTCCCCAAGGACCTTCTGTCCTAGAGACCAAACACATTTTGTGGCTAACAAAGTGTTTTCCCCTGACTGCTGGAGCTGGGCAAGAGGCCTGCAGGAGACCTTGAGGCAAGAGGGCCAGCCAGGTCTGAGGCCAGCAGTGGGTAGACATCCCAAGGAAATGCCTCTCCTCCCTCTGCCCAGTGGGGCCCAGGGCACAAGGAAGGCACTGGCTGCCCTCCCTCTCCGCAGCCACTCACCGTACTGAATGGCGCAGTTGGCCAGGAGGTCCTTGATGGTGTCCGCGTACACCAGCCGCATGCGCCGGCGCTCGGCGGCCACGCTGTGCTCCGTCTTCTCCTCCTCCGTCAGTGGTGTGATCTGCTTCAGCTTCACCTGTGGACAGGGGTGGGGTGCCCTGAGACAGTACCGGGGCCTGTCCCCCCAACTGCCATCGCAGCCCGGGGCTGCTGGATGGTTACAAGTCTTTGTCCCTCTTTGCCCACATTTTCCCGTCTCCGTGTTGACTGATCCACCATCTTCATCCTCCAATAACCCTAGGCTCCCTTCTGGGGCCAAGGCACAGGGGATGGGGGTAGGGATCACTGCAGGACGGGAAAGAAGATGGGGAGCCCTGAAGACTCCCCATGTGAGACGCACAGGGAGAGATGGGGAAAGGAGAGCGGGAGGGCGCCTGGGGCCCGGTGGCAGTTGGGGATGGGCCTTCCTCTAGGGGCTATGACTCCCTGCCACCCCTCACCTCCACCCCCCGCCAAACCCCAGCCTCACCACCCTGGTCCAGGCCCATCATGACTGGCGGCCAGGTGGCCCAGCAGCCCCGGGCAGCCAGGTGTGGCCACCTACCTTGGAGAGCTCACGGTGGGCCACAAAGGTGGCCAAGGCCTTGCACACGCTCCACTGCTTCTCAGAGCAAGTGTCCTCGGAGGCCACCTGGATGCCCACCTGGGGGGGAAAGAGTAGGTGGAGGAGTGAGGAAGGAAGAAATAGAGCTCACAAGCCCGAGGCCCGCAGCCTAGTGGCACGGGCAGTCCCACTCTGCTATGTCAGGATCACCCACCACGTCTAGGAGGCTGGGGACCTGGGGTAGGTTCTGCTTCTGCCCCTGGTTCCCTGGGAAACTTTAGGCAAGTCACTTCCCTTCTCTGGGCCTCAGTTTTCTCGTCTGTAAAGTGGGGATGACCAATCCCACCCTCGAAGGGCTACTGAGAGGATTAACATGAGTTAATGTTAAGTAAAGTGCTGGCTAACTTGAAAGGATAGACATGTGAGGTGCCCGGGGGCCTTGGGCATTTACAGGGTGCCCAGGGGCACAGACAGAACTCGCCATCTCAGCCTCAGTGGTCCCTCAGCAACCCCTGGGTGGAAGCTGCCCCCATCCGACGTCCACTGGTGGCAAAGAGAGTCCCTCCCCCAGAGCTCACCGAGCCCTGTGCATCGCCAAGAGTCCTTCAACAACCCTGAGGCAAAGGAATCACGCTCCCACTTCACAGATGGGAACACAGAGTCTGTGGGAGGTAAGCTACAGAACTGAAGTCCAGTGCTGTCCCGGCCCCAGCCCCACTGCTGCCAGGGCCAGGCACAGCAGCTGTCATCCTTGCATTTCCACAGCCACCAGGCTGCTGACGACAGGGTCTGAGTCTAGGCATGAAGACCCAGGAGTTAAATCCCACCTTGGGATCCATGTGGCTTGGTGACCTGGAGCAAATCCCCTCCCCTCCCTGGGCCTCAGTTTTCCCTTCTGTGTTATGGGGGTGTCAGGCCGGAAGATCCTTAGGCTCTACCCAGCCCTGCCAGCTGGTTCAGAACTCTGCCGCCTCAAACAGGGCTTCTGGAGTGTGAGTAGAAAGCCCACCCAGCACCCACGCCTGCCCCACACACCTCCATGCTGCTGTTGAACGCCCGGTTCACCTTGGCCTTGATATTCACCACCTGTCCGACTCTGGGAGAGAAGAGCCGGAGTGAGCCTTTCAGAGGGGATGCAGGGAGGGAGCCTCTACTGAGCAGAGCTATTAGGAGAATTGCCACTTTACCGAGTGTATTCACATATGGACGTCACCCGAGTCCTCAAAGCAAGCCAGCAAGCCAGTGTCAACACCCTTTCCCAGGAGGCCGAGAGAAGTGGGATGAGTTCATTTATCTGCCCCCTAACCCCTTGTCCGGTGAGTGCTCCAGCTCCTTTTTGCGCCTGTTTACCGATCCCCTCCCCAGGGAAGCCCTCCCTGCACCCTGTTGCTCTATAAGGTTCGCCTTCCTCACACTTTTTCCAGCAGGTAACACCTGTCTCCCTCACCACCCATAAGCTCCACGGGGCCAGGCTTGGCACAGGGCAGCGGGCAGCTCTCCACAATTAGTGGCCTACTAAACTAACACGTCCCGCGTTCACTGCATCAGGATTGGTTCATCAACTGTGACAAAGGTACCCCACATGAATGCAAAATGTTATCAGAGGAACTGGATGTACTATCTACATCTGTACTGTCTACATCTGTTGTGTAAATCAAAAACTAATCTAAAATCTGCCTCCCTGTAGTCTGGGAGCTACTGGGGCACAGGGACCTTTTGTACCACAAACCCAGCATGGGCCCCGGCCCAGAAAAGGTGCCAGGAGTGATGAATGACTGAACATGAATAAATACAGCAACTGGCCAAATGTTTTCCTTAACACTCTGGGCACCAGGGAAGCCCTGAAAAAGCCCTTGGCACTCATGTCCTAGGCCCATGGTCGGCAAACTCATCAGTGAACAGAGCCAAATGTCAACAGTACAACGATTGACATTTCTTTGGAGAGCCAAATTCTTTAAACTTAAACTTCTTCTAACGCCACTTTTTCAAAGTAGACTCGCTCAGGCCGTGGTATTTTGTGGAAAAGCCACACTCAAGGGGCCAAAGAGCCGCATGTGGCTTGTGAGCCGCAGTTTGCAGACCACCGTCCTAGGCGATGGAGGAGAGCTTAGGAGTGGACCCACAGGCAAGAGCACTGTACGCAGGCCCTGCAGCCTGGCCTGAGCTGGGGGCTTGGCATGGTTCTTGGGTCCCAGCAAAGCTCTGCAGAGACAAAGCTCAACACAGTGTAACCAGTACAGGCTTTAAAAACAAACTGTGAGGCGGTGAGCTCCTCATCCCTGGAGGTATGTGTGAGCAGAGACTGAATGACCCAAGATTCCGGCTCAGGCTTTGCCAAGGGATTTTATGGAAGGACCTCCCTGCCATCCAGCAGCCAGTGACCACAGAGAACTTTTAAGTTCAATAAGGCATTCACTGAATACGTCTAATCCCTTCCATCTGCAGATAAGGAAACTGAGGCCCAGAGAAAATGTCTGACTTCGCCAAAGTCACATAGCAGCACCCCATGATGTGGCCTGGGCAGCGCCCAACTCCAAACTTGAAGCAATTTCCTTGGCTCCACGCTGGCTGGAGGAATCCACCCCATGGCAGCGAGCACTGAGCCAGTTCCCAGCCCAGGGCTGTCCAGAGACCCTGCAGATGAGTCACCGCTTCCCGGGGGCTTCCCCCACTCCACCTGCAACAGCTGTCAGGTCCCAGGCAGGAGAGACAGGGCAGGGGTCCCTAGGCCTTGGTGGGGAGCCCAGAAGGACCTAGAGACAGGTGGGGCCACTTACCTAATGGTGTGCTCAAAATAGATGTCATCCATGGAGGCCGTGACGCAGGGACAGCCGGCGTGCCTCTCCGCTGGCAGCAGGACGAGAAAGCCGTGCGTTAGCAGCCTCTGATCCAGGTCAGCCCTCCCGACTGAGGCCGTGCCTCCTCACCCACAGCCTTCTTTACTTCTCCTGAAGGTTGCTGCGTCCTGCTTTATCTATCGCATGAGTTTTGCCTGTCTAGTATCTCTCCCTTCTGTTCAACTGCAAATTACTTGAGGGCAAGGGTTTTTGCCTGCCTGGTTCACAGGTGTACTCCTGCACACGGTAGACACTCAGTAAGTAACTATTGAATACATTAATGTCACGCCATGCAATGCTAGCTCCCAGCCTTCTCGAGGGCCCTCAGGTCTGCCCAGTCTACCTCATCCATCTTTGTTTGCTTGCTGAGTCATTCTTTCCTTCAGGGCCCTGCTCACTGCCTTAGTCCATTTAGAGTCCCTTCTCGGTCCCCAGGGCTGGGTCATGGCCTCTGGTCTGTTCTCCCACAGCCCCAAGTTCACCTCCCTTTCCCCACAAAACAGTGCTGGGATAGTTGGGTCACCTGTCTGCCTCCCACCTCTCCATGTGAGCTCCCTGTGGGTTGGAGAATACTGGGACATCAAAAGGAATGAAGTGAAGTCAACTCAACTTCTCAACTTAATGTAGGGAGACAGCACTGTGCTTGCTCACAGCACTCCTGAGCCAGCCCTGGAGCAGCCACGTTTAAGGCAGTGAGCTGTGTGGAAGCAGGAACTTGAGAACTGGGATCTAAGGGCACTCAGAACTGGGACCTCTGGGAGAGGACGGGCTAGAGCTGAGCATCGGGAAATTGGAGGGGCATTGCAGGCTGGCCAGCTGGGGTGAGGGACAAGTGTGGCCCTCAGGGAGAGAGTGACCGGCTCAGCATAACTGAGGCCTCTCCCCTGGGTGTGGGCCAGTGGGTAGGAGGATGGCAGTCTCACCAGACAGACAGGCTGTGGTGTCAATCCACTTGAGCAGCTGCCCGACGCTCAGCTCGCCACGCTGATTGGTGTGGCAGGGCAGCACCAGCTGGCTCATCTGCACCTCTGTGGGGTTCCGGTACTCCTCGCCATCTGCCATGGTGCCGTCAGTTTTCTCTGTGCGGGAAGTTGACTTCCGGTACTGTCTGCCCGAGAACACAGAGGCCAAACCCTGGGGAACAGGTGGGATCAGAGAGGTCAGCTCACTGCAGGGTCCCCTGAGTCTGCCCATTCCTGAGACATGAGGACTGGAGGGAGAGGAGAGAGCACCCCAGGGCCACCTCCTTCCAGACCCCAACTCCAAGAGGGGTCACCGCCCTCCAGCCCAGAGCTCAGACCCAGGACATCACTTAGGCTCATTCCTTTTAGCCAATATCTCCATGTTAACATGGCCTGGGACCGGGAGGGGGGGCGGGGAGGGCGGGGAGTGCTGGGGTTCTTTTCCCAGCCTTACAAAGGGTTCAGCATTCTGGAGAAAGGGGCTGCATGTAGAAGATTAAAGAGTCTGAAGACAAAAGATAATTTTGAAAGGCATTGGCGGTTAGAGGATCTTCAGCTAAAGGAACTGAGGACTCCCCTTGTCTAAGGACCCTGTGCTATTTATTTAATACAATTTGTCCTAAGGCAAGGTGGAGATAATACACTTCAAAGGATAAGGTACAAGCACTGTCAGTTTGGGGAACAGCCTACAGGTGTTTGGCCAACAGAGGCAACAAAATGCCCTGAGCTGTCTGGCAGCAGACAGTCCTATTCAGGTTTGCGGGAAGTGCTGTTTAGCCATTTCCAACAGGTAAACTACATATGACTCAACCCTTGTTGAGCTCCCCAAGCTTTTTCACCAACCTTTTGATGAAACTCTTGTAATTATTACATGCTGGAATTGGTTCCCAGAGAGAGGGGGGAGGGGAAGTTGGGGAGGAAGGAGAGGAATCATACAGAGAACTCAGTCCTCAGAGCTTCAGCTTGTGGGTCCGCTTTTTAAAGTTTTGCCTCTGATTGACCTTCATGGCAGAAAGATTTCCCCCCAAGAGCCCCCTCCCAGGCAAGCCTGGGGATTGGTTCCCAATAAAGTGTTTCAAGAAGCAGGTCCTATTTCATCCCCCAAAGGCCCCTTCCCCGGCTCCTTGCTCTTCAGATGACACCTCTGTTGGGTGCTCATTTGTCTTTAGCACTTAGCTCCACTGGCTGGGAGGGCCCTGGGCAGTGCTTGAGCAGCTGTGTGATCCAGGCGGCTGCCAGCTGGAGAACCAGCTGAGAAAATCCTCAAACTCCTTAACTAGAGGTGGAGTTTCTGCCCAGGGCCCAGCTTTTCTTATTCCCCGGGCAGAAGAGATGGTGAGTGCCTAGCAGTCCGTTGGATGGGGTGGGACGAAGGAGGTGGAGCCGGCCTACCACCCCTTCTCTCCCTAATCGGACTGTGAACAAGAGCGGGCATGTGTGAGAAAAATGACAGGAGGAGTTCCAATTCTCATGGCCAATGCCAACTGCGGGGTAACGGTTGGCGCCAACATTTACACAGCACTTATGAGATATCAGACACTCTCCTAAGCACTTTCTGTGTGCTAATTCATTTGTATCCACACAACAAACCTCTGAGGTAGGTTCATGATTACCCTCACTTCACAGTTTGGGAAACTGAGGCCCAAGGAAGTGACAACGCTTATATATGACTCCAGAGGTCTGGCTGCAGTCTGAGGTCCCACCCACCACGCTGCACTGCCTGCAGGGGCTCCTGGGCCCACAAGGAGAAGGAAGCCAGAGCTCTGGGCCTGGACTCAGCAGCAAAGAGTGACACAACCAGATGCTGACCCTGCCACTGCTCAGATGGGGGCAGGGACATCTCAGAGCAGGGATGGCCCTCGTGCGGGTGGGGGGAGGGAGGGAGGACTCCTTGGATAGCTCCCCCTATGAGACTCTGTAGCTAATTCAGTACATTCAGAACACACACCGTGTGACTGGTTCAAGGTCGCTGACTCATAAATGGTAGGTCTGGGATTTGAACAGGGCCTGTCTAAACCAAAACAGCCCTGGGTACCACATTCAGTGCTGGGCACCGACGGGGAAGAGGAGGGCAGCTGTCCCAGGAGCTCTCAGTGTGGGTGGAAGTCTTTGAGGTGCCAGGCTGCCAGGCTTGCAGAATCTTGCAGGCATCTCGCAGGCCTTGTGGTCTAAGCAGGGCTGTCACCATGGTAACCACTGCCGAGGCATTTCCAGCCTAGTGTGCACTGGGGGCCTGCATGGATGTGTTCGCGGGTGGCTGCCTTTCTGGGTGTGGGAGACGGGAGAGGGAGGAAGCTGGCAGACTGTTCGCCTTCTCTTCCCAAACCCCTCCCACAGCCAGGGGTCCTGCCCAGAACATTCCAGAAAGAAGCCTGGAGAAAGCTAGAGAAATGGGGGAGGCGAGATGCACAGAGTAAGCGGGAAGCAAGGGAGCAGATGCGTGGGGTTTCCGAGCAGTTCTGGGCATGCACACACAACGTCCCAGCTTCACAAGCCTATTTTCACATCCACCGCCTCACTGGGTCCTCACAAGGAAGGCAGACCCTTTTCACAGCTGAGGAAAGTAAGGATGGGGAAAGACCTGGACCAGGACACCTGTGTTCTAATCTCTCTGCTTCTCCTCTGGTCAATCCCCACCCCCACCCGCCTCCTATTTCCTGTTCTATGTGAAGGAGTCCCTACCTTCCCAATGGACTCTCCATGCCTGAAGGCAGTATCTTTGCCTCATTCATTCATTCATTCATTCATTCACCGAGCACCTCCTTTCTCAGCACTAAGCCCTGGGCCAAACACTGAGAATGCAAAGGTAAACCGGGCCAATCCCTTTGAGAAGCTCTGCCCTAGTGCTCTTGTCTAGAAAGGCCTGGCGCACAGTAGGACCTCATCAAAGGTTTGTGGAGGGACAAATAGAGACAGACTTGAATTTAAATATATATATATTTTTTTAAAATATATTTTATTGATTTTGTACAGAGAGGAAGGGAGAGAGAGAGTTAGAAACATCAATGAGAGAGAGTCATCAATCAGCTGCCTCTTGCACACCCCCTACTGGGGATATGTCTGCAACCAAGGTACATGCCCTTGACCAGAATCGAATCCAGGACCTTTCCGTCCCCAAGCGGACACTCTATCCATTGAGCCAAACTGGTTTCAGCTTTTTTTTTTTTTTTTTTTTTTACTGATTTTAGAGAGGAAAGGAGAGGGAGACATAGAAACATCAATGAGGAGAATCATTGATTGGCTGCCTCTTGCACACCCCCTACTGGGGATCGAGCCCACAACCCAGGCTTGTGCCCTTGACTAGAATCGAACTTGGGATCTCTCAGTCCACAGGCCAACACTCTATCCACTGAATCAAACTAGGTAGGGCCGGACTTGAGTTTAAATCCTAGCCCTGTCCCTCAGGTGCTATGTGATCCGGAGCAAGCCCCCTCTCCTCCTGAGCCTCATCTCTCACTTACAAGTTGGGCAGAGGCAGTGGGAGATTGCCAACCCCCAAGGTATCCCCAGCCCTGTCTCCAGGGTTCTGGGGTTTAACCCCGCAGGGCTGGCGTGCTGAGCTGAGATTTCCAGTGAGGAAGCTAAGGAGCCCTGTTACCTGTCAGACAGGACATGCTGAGCTCCTCCAAGCAGGGCTGAGCTCCCACCTTCCAACCCTACAAGTTGTGGTACAAGCCCCCCTATCTCCCCACTTCCCTCAAAGCGGGTGAGCAGAGCCCTGGTCCGTGGCACCAGCAAAGGGGACAGAGCACCAGTGGCCCAGGACAGGGCCTCTCAGACTCCAACTCCTTGCTTGGCTCCAAGACAGCCTGCCCACGTCAGGCCCGGCCAGGCCAGGCCTCCTTCTCGTCCCAGGGTGGGCAGGCAGCCAGCCAGGGCGCAGGAGGCTTGGCCAATGGGGCTCCAGAACTGGGACACTCCTCCCTGAGCCAGTCACAGAGAGCGCAGAGGCCCTGATGGATAGGCCAGGCTGGCTGAGCCAAGACAGCTGACAGGGAGAGTAGAGCCCACTACATAGATGAGGTCATAGGGTCAGAGACGTGCCCTCCCAGAAGGCAGCCATGCCAGGCTCTGGCCCCATGCCACAGCAGGCCTGGCCAGGTTTGATACTGCCAGACTAGGCCTCAGCTGGCTACACCCGGGGTTCTGTGTCCCTCCTCCTGGACCGTCCATGTCACAGACCTGCTGGTCAGAGCAGGAGAGGCCGCCTTGTCCAATCCCTTCATTGAAGGGGAAACCGAGGCTCAGGGACAGAAAGACGGTCTGGGGTCACACAACTGGGGAGCCAGGAAGAGCCCTCCTGGGATGGGCAGCGGCTCCTTCGAGGCAGTTTGACCACAGGCCCACGCTCACACTGGCCTGGATTTCCTCCCTCCCCAACTGAGCCAAGGAACAGGGATCCAGTCCCTGAAGCTCTCAGACTACCCACTGTCCTCGGGCTTGGGCCCCCTCCCCCGCACCCTCCACCGCCCCGCACTGGGGCTTGCTGGATGTTTCCAGAGCCTGTTCACAGGCCGCCCATCTCCATCTCCTCTGGCCTCCAGCACCTGTCTTCCCAGAGCAACCACAGGAGGTTCCTCAGAGCACCACCCTCCCCCTCCTCCATCCTCTGCCACGTGGGGGCTGCTTCTGCCTAGGTTCCCTTTATCTGCCCTGTCTCCTCCTCCTTCTTCAGGTTTCCCTATCCCTGCTTTCCCCAGGGAGTTCGGTCCTCCCAGCCCCCACAGCCTCGCCTGTCCCCATCACAGTGAAGCTGTGCAGTCACTGTATTCCTAGACGCTTCTGCCATCAGACAGTCAGGGACAGATCAGGCCTCACAGAGCAGGTGCCCAATAAACACCTATGGGAGAGGCTGGCGACAGGGGCTGAGACTTGAAGACAGGAAGGTCACAGGCACAGAGAGGACGTGAAGACAGCACAAAGGACAAGCAGGAACGGTGGTGCCTCGGGTGATGGGAACTGCGTGGCGAAGGAAAGCCTGAGGTCAAGTACCAGGTACTTGGTGGGTAGAGACAGAGGGAAAGGGGCCAAGGAGTCCTACAGCGACTGCCCAGAAAAGGTGACAGCCAGCAGAGAGCTTAGAGCTGCAGGAACAGCAGAGGAGAGGGCTCAGAGCTGCAGGACCCACTGGGAACAGCAGGCCAGGGCAGGGGAGGCCATGAAGATGACCTG